ACGGGGGAGGAACGTTTTTTTTTCAGTTTAAATGGAAATAAACTAATGGTATCACATAATTAATTTCAAACTGAAAATTGACTGAATTAAAAAAAGCATTTTGTACCATTAATCTATTCAAATAATAAAATATAGAAAATAGAGAGTTGCCATCTGTTTGTAAATTTCAGTTTAAGTAAATTGATAAGATATGGTAAATATTGCATTAAGGTTGTCAAAAGAAAGCGGTTTAAGAAGGCTACCGCCGAAAATCTTTTTGCGGGAGGTTGCCACCTGTTTAATTTAAATATAATTTAGTTTATAAGACTAATTAAATATTGCAATATTCGTATCAAACTAGAGAGATTTAGTTCAGTTTACAGCCGAAAATATTTTTGATGTGGGTTACCACCTCTTTAAGAAATTTAATTCAATTGCTAAAATAAATGAAATATTAAAATACGGATATCAAGCTGAAGTGGTTTAAGAGAGTTTACTGCCGGAAATATTTTTGAAGCGGTTTGCCACCTATTTGAATAATTTCTTTCACATAAATTGATAAGATAAGTTAAATATTAAAATATGGGTATCAACCGAAAATATTTGATGTAGTAATATCTTCATCTAGCAAATGCCCAGCGTGTTTCGCATCGCCTTCGAATTAATTATGGTTTGTTGCTCCATCTGAAACATCTAAAACTATTAGTTAATACCGTTGTATTTGTAAAGTGGAAAAATTTTTTTCAAATATATAAAAAAGTGGATTTCCGCGATTTTTTGCGAATAATATTGAATTAATACACCTTTGAGGAAAGTGCGCGATGCGTACACTCGAGTTAAAAGATTACAAATTAAATTTCCAGTACAAAGTCTATAATTTACCAACTTTCTAAATATGTTAGAAAAATTTATTTACACTGTGGTTGGGTCCAAGTTTATAGATATGCCAGCCGATTGAAAAAGAAAATATTAAACTGAAATACATACATTCAAATGTTCTACAGATAAGGGCGCATTAGACTTAAGGAAGTCAGGACACAATTCACGGCATCTGCGATCGAATGAAATATAATTACAGCTTATTTCTCTCCAAAAGGAATTTCAACTTACGTTTTTGATATTCATAATTTTTTTGAGGGTATAATTATTATTTTTTATAATTTAATTAATTATATTATTATATTATGAATAAGGATGCTGGCTATGTTTATCGCTCACTTATAGTTATTCTATGTACTTTGTGATAACGAAAGAGCTGCCTCGTTTGTACGAAAAATTTAAAATCGGGACTTAATCGGTATAAATATGAAATATCGGAACACTTATATGTCCCGACGTATAAAAATATTCAGCGGGACAATTTTCTGAAAGCCGGTTTTATTCCGCCAAAATCCATACTGTCCCGCCAGAATCGGTACGAATGGTCACCGTATTTATCGGTGATAACAAAATGTAGTTAAAGTTGCAAAATCAATTTTGAAAGGAAACTTTAGTACTTTAAAATAAATTTTACTCTACTTTACCACAGTTTCAAAACCGCTGCTTTTTACAATAAACGTTACAACTGGGTTGAACTTTAATAAACTAATACGGACTATTATAACTGCGAAATTTATTTCTTTTTCATTTACAGATTTCTTGGGGTGCAATATAGAAATTAATATCCTAAATCATTTCCTTAATATTTTTGTATGATTTATTATTTATCCCTTACATTCTGTTCTAAGTTGCTTTACCACATACATACATGTAGATACTAATATAATTATGCTTAAAATATTTTACAACTAGTATTTATATAGATACATATTTATGTGTGTATGTAGTTATGTATCTATGAATACATTTAACATTATTTATTGTTTCCACATAGGCAAGGTTGTGAATATGTACGTATGCATGTACTTAAATGTATATACAAGTAGTTACACAAATAAATCTGAACGCTTTTTTTATAAATACAGTGCCTCAAAAAAGCGTTCACATTTTTATTTTATTTTTTTAATATTCACAATGATGGGGATTAAATGCCTTACCGAATAATGTAGTTTCACTTTGATAAATAAATTATAACTAATTTGAAATCGTGGAGACTTTTGAGATAAGTGTGTAATTAACATTTCATATCCTTCTTCTTCTTCAATTCCACTTTTGATATCGTACACAGGAATTTTATTCAGCAATTTATGGAAGAAAATGCCTAAGACCATTTAAAAAAAAATTAAGACAGTTTTTATAAATACCGCTTGTTCGATGACAAAAAACAATCGTAAAATACCGGTGCACAGTGGTTCGAAATGGCAATCTAGAGTACATTTATGATTTAGTTTAAGTGTAAAATTTTAAAGTTTTTTCTTTCGATTTTGCAACACATTAGAACGCACTTTTATTTTGTTAAAAAAAGTACTTATATATAAACATATATTATATGAAGTAAATACGCAACCAAAAAACTGTAAAAATTTAATTTCATAGAAATAAATGTTGGAAGTTTGTCTGGCATGTGTAGCTCCAACGCAATTATTTCGT